TGCTGAACTCCTGACCTCAGGTGATCCACCTGTCTCAGCCTCCTGAGTAGCTGGGATTATAGGTACAAGCCACATGCTTGGGTCATTTTTATAAATTGATATGAAACTTTTATCAATTAAAATTCTGGTAATTTATTTTTATCTCTTTCTTAAGTGAAAATGTACCTTGACTTTTTTTTTTTTTTAACAGTTTGAAACATGCAGTAGAAATTCTCTGTTAATACATAAATGGAAATCACATTTTTTTTTCCATATTGGCATGTATCTACAAATATTAAAGGAAGAGAAAAGGTAATATGATTTTAGATTTAACAAATATGGTGTATATTCAAATAATACTTGACCAGCTTATCTAAATTGTACATAATATTTGAACTAGCATATGAATTTGATTTTAATTATGTTCACAGGACTGGGATAATTAGATATTATTTTGCATCTGTAACTGTAATCATTTCTTGTAATTTCTTGTGCAGGTGTATTGTACTTAATAGATTTTACTTTTGGAAATATGACTGTTGAAATTAGCTTAGCTTTGTTTATTTACTGTTTGACTTTGTATTTTCATTTTGGAGAAGAACACTGTTTTAGTTTAGGAAACTTTTCAAGAGTGAAAGCTTCTGATGATTTTTTTCCCTCATGGGAAGAAATACTGGAAATAAAATGTTAGTATAATGCAGTTATTGTAAACAGCCTATGACTTGATTTTGATTTGGAAACCTATACTGACCAGGTATTAAGCTTAAGGATTGTATAAATCATTAAAGCTGTGGTCTTTTCATATGGAGGTTGATAGATAATTTTTTTGTCTTGAGCCTTATTTGGTGACTTTCTGTTCATGTAATTCATCATGTGTCAATAAGGTTGTTGAACAAACTGAACACATGGGCTATAACAAGTAGTTTTTTTTTATTTTTTATTATTATACTCTTAAGTTCTAGGGTACATGTGCACAACATGCAGGTTTAATACATAGGTATACATGTGCCATGTTGGTTTGCTGCACCCATCAACTCATCATTTACATTAGGTATTTCTCCTAATGCTATCCCTCCCCGAGCCCCCCACCCCACCGACAGGCCCCGGTATGTGATGTTCCCCACCGTGTGTCCAAGTGATCTCATTGTTCAGTTCCCCCATATGAGTGAGAACATGCAGTGTTCTGATGGTTATAGCAAGTAGTTATATAGTACAGATCTTTCCATTACATTTTATTGTTTAAACAAAACAAAATTTGTTTTTCTGTTAGGAATAAGAAAAAAATGGTTTTTATATAGGTTCTTAGGGTACACTTGCAGTACACTTACCGGCCACTGCTGCAAAGTCTACGTTTTGTTGTGCTGAATCTGCATTCTATCAGATACCTATGGAAAGACCTCAGTATATGCTTTGCAGTCTGCTTTGCTCCCCTTTTCCAGTTTCCTGTTGCAAATCATTTTGATGTAATACAGAAAACAACATTTGAATATCTACATGAAGAATTGACCTACCAGTATCAGCCCACCTCTACTTTGTCAGTTCATAGTGAAATCTTTTATCATTCCAAAAATAAAGTGCATTTTCTTTTTTCTTTTTTTTTGAGACGGAGTGTAACTTTGTCACCCAGGTTGGAGTGCAGCGGCACGATCTCAGCTCACTGCAACCTCCGCCTCCTAGGTTCAAGTGATTCTCCTGCCTCAGCCTCCTGAGTAGCTGGGATTACAGGTGCCTGCTACCATGCCCAGTTAGTTTTTTGTATTTTTAGTAGTTAGTTTCACCATGTTGGTCAGGCGGGTCTTGAACTCCTGACCGCAAGTGATCTACCTGCCTTGGCCTCCCAAAGTGCTGGGATTACAGGCGTGAGCCATCACACCTGGTCGCATTTTCAAAAGAATGAATTTAAGAATAATAAAATTAAAATAGGCCCACTTTTAAATTGTGGTCCATTTTAAAATTTGTCATTCAAATTTTTTGTTGTTAAAAATATATATATAAATCAGATAATAACACTCTTTGGCTGAAAATCCTTCAAGAGCTTCCCAGTAGATTCAGAATAGAATGCAAACCCCTTGTTGGCCTTTAAGAGCCTTTATGACCTGGCTTCTGCCTCGTGTCTGCTGCTTGGCTGCAACAATTCAGGCCATACATTTGGGCCATATTACCTTTTTTTCTGTTTCTTGGTTGCACTGAGCTTTTCCTCATCTCAGAGTCCCTGCTCTTGGCCTCCTCACTTTCTGAGACACTCTTCCCACAGACCTTGCTTGCCTGGCTGCTGTCTCAGTTCAAATCACTTCCTGGGAGATGCTTTCCCTGAACACTGTTAACTAAAGAGGCAGCTTCTACTCCCGGGCACTCTATCCCATTTTCCTTATTTTTTCTTGGCAATGTTAATTCTTTAAGTTTTTGTTGTTGTTTGCTTATTATTTGTCTTTCCTCATTAGCATACAATTTCTATAAGGACAGAGGCTTTTCCCATTTTGTTTCTTGCTAAAGTCTCAGTGCCTGTACCTAGTTATTGGCCATAGTACCTACTTATTGAGCGTTAAATATTCTTAAGTAAATGAATGAATCAATTGAATTAAATGGACATACTATCAATTCAATAGTATGAATATTCAAAGAGTATGAATACAATGTACTCATACTCTTTGTCCTTTTGATTAAGCCATAGTTGTTAAAGAGTTTAATGCTCAGTTTTTTTTTCTTTCAACTAGCCATGTACATCTTCATGTGATCAGCCAGGATTTTGATTCTCCTTGCCTTAAA